TTCTGATGCTGGGGGTGTGGGCTTGATCTCTGATCTGGGAACTAAGATCCCACATGCCTTGAGGCATGGCCAAAAAAAACAGTTTAGCAAATTCACTTCAACAGTATATTAAGAGCCATCTCAGGAATGCACATAGGTGTCAACTTTAGAAAAAAATCTACCAGTTTAAATCACTGCTTTTCTAGAGTACAAGAGAAACCACATAATTATTTTCATAGAGAACAAAAACACTTTTGAAAATGTTCAACATATGTACTTTTATGATAAAAAACAAAATTTATAGCAAATTAGGTTCTTTCTTAATATGGTAAGAGGCATTGAAACTCTACAGGAATTGTCACCACTTGGTAATGAAATAGAGTCACTGTTACCATCATTGCACTATTCAACCTTTTTATTGGAGATTCTAGTCAGTACGAGGGAAAAATGTCATTAATGCTGGAAAAAAAGAACAAAACTGAGATTATCTGCAGACCATATGATCATCTACCTAGAAAAATCTCAAGAGAATCAATTGGCAAACCAATAAGAGTTTAGCAGTGCAGCCAGATATAAGATCAGCATAGAAAAATCAATAGCTTAATTACATACTAGCAAAAACCAATTAGAAAATGAAATGAAAAATGAACTCATTCTTAAGAGAAACAAATTCTATAAAATATCTAGAGAGAAACCTCATAAAAATGTCTAAATACTAAATAAAGAAAGCTACCAAAGTTTACTGAATGGTCTTCAAGAAGAGTTAGCTATATCAGGTCTCCCATAAATTAATCTATAAATCCAAAAGAACCCCAGCTGAAATCTCAGGAAGACTGGTAATGATATATAACATGATGGTTTCTTTCTCTCAGAAGGGAAATCTCCAGAGATGGTCAAGAAAATTTAAAAGGCAGAACAACCAGGGGAGTTTCCTTGTGAGACATTCAAAATACTTGATGAAGTTATAGCAGTTAAATCAGTGGTGCGTTGCTCTAAAAATAGCTAAAGAATAGAGAAACAAATCTAGAATGTACTCTGTACATGTGGAAAATAGTTTACCATGAAGCTGGCTTTTTAAATTCAGTGGCAAAACAATGAAATCTTCAATAAAGGATAAGAACTATATAAAAATCTATACAATTGGTGGCGATATATATGGAAACAGCCTATCCGGCATAATGTGTGCTCCGTCACTTCAGTCGTGTCTGACTCTTTACAACCCCATGGACTATAGCCCGCCAGGCTCCTCTCTTCATGGGGTTCCAGCCAAGAATACTGGAGTGGGTTACAGTGCCCTCCCCCAGGGGATGTTCCCAACCCAGGGATCAAACCTGTGTCTCTTAGGTCTCTTGCCTTGGCAGGCAAGTCCTTTACTACTATCACCACCTGGGAAGCCCAGAAGAAGATCAATGACCAGCATGTAAATAAAAAGATGCTTAACTTTAGATATAGTAACAGTCAGGGAATTGCAACTAAAATTAATAGAAAATTTTCTTCTCTCTCCCACTGGTGACAACCTAGGAAGCCTATCTTGCAGCAAACACAAGGCTTCCACTTGGAAGGTATTTTTGTTTAATTTGGCTGAGAGGGGTGCTAGAGATGATGGGAGGAAAGGGAACGGTCCCCAGTCACTTTCTGGCGTGGCCCCAGCTCTGTGTGGGACCTCGAGTGCAGAGAAGGCACAGGCAGCTCTGACGGAGGCCCCTTTGGCTACTCAGACCCCAGCCGGCACTCCCAGTGGGAGTGCACCTACTTCCCCTAATAGGTGCAAAAGTCTGGAAAACCATTGCGCCAAGCTGGCAGCCAGAATGACCACTAGCTCTAGGAGGAATAGTGTCAACTTGTAGCTCTTATTATGGTGCAATGTTGTTTCCTTAGTTTGTGCATGTTTTAATGAATTCATAGAACCCTGTTAGGAGTCCTGTGATGGGGAAGGAGTGTGGCTGAAGGCGGTGGAAGTGGGGGAGCCAGTGCCAGGATGGTCTCCCATCAGGTCTGGGAGTTGGGGCTGCAACACCTCCTCCCCTCTCCCTCACCCTTTGCTGGGCCTTCATCCCAGTTCCCAAGCCTCACACCCAAGGGCCAGGCAGACCACACACCAAGGAAGGCACTGAAGCTGGTGGAGCCTTAGAAAGGGCTTCATCCTCTGACATGTTTGGACCAGGGTTCAAATCCCGTCTCTGCAATCTCATAGCTCCTATCCGAGCCCCACCTCGGGAGGTTTCTTTGGATGCTGGATAGTGTAACAATAACTAGTGATAATTGAATGTTTCCTCTTTGTCAGGTGTTGTTCTCGGTGCCTGTGCTGTCCTCTATCAACTCAGCCAATCCCACATCACCGCTACAGGTAGGAACAGTGCTTATGCCCGTTTTACAGATGGGGACACTGAGGCAGAGGGCTGCGAAGGAACTTGCTGAAGCCACCACTTGGGCAGCACAGCTGGCACTGAAGTGAAAGTCCCTCTTCTCAATTACTCAGATTCTTGACTCTGAACCTGGAGCGGCTGGCTCACCAGCAGGGAGCCTAGTCAGTCAGTGACTAGGCCAGCCTGAGCACGCGGTCTGTCCCAGGGCCTGTGCCAGGTGCTAGGAACTCCGGAATGAATGAAGCGGATGAAGCCGACACAGTCCCTAGGCTTTGAAGAGTCTTTCTTGGGAGCTGTGTGGGTGGTATTGCCTGGAGATCAACCATAAACAAATAACAGGCAACAACGATCCAGAAAGTGATCTTATCAGGAGGGAAGAAAACGCAGCAGTGTGAGGTGAGAGGCGGGGGATGGGGGCGCGACATTCCGGGGGGAACCGCCGAGGCAGGTCCGGGTGGGCGGGTCCCCGAGGCTGTGGCGGTGCCCGGGCTGCTCCGCGAGCTTGGGCCTGGCTGTGCCCGCCCCGAGGTGGAGCCTCTACACGGAGCGGGGCCGGAGTCTGTGTTGGAGAGACGGGAAGCCCAGCCCAGGTTACAGCTGGGGCGGTTGGGGCACGCGCACATGTGCAACTGCGCGTTGCACGTTGGTACCTGCAGCGTGTACCCGCGCGCGCGCCGTGTGCGCGGGGGCATCTAAGGAGGAACCGCTTCGCGACGAGGCAGCCATCAGCAGACCGCTTCCACTCCGCCGACCCCGCCGCAGCCCGTGGCACACGCGCCTTCGCTGAACCAAGCCCCTTTCTTCCCACTGAGCTCGCGGTCCCCTAGTCCCTGCGGCCCGCGGGAGAACCGTGACAGGGGCTGCCCGTCCTGGGGCCGCGCTGGGGCACAGGCTCTCTCTCGGCTCCCGGGTGCCTCTCTGGCCGGTTCTTCACCCAAGCATCCTTTCCTGAGGCCGAAGCTGCAGCAAAAAGGAACCTGGCGTGGGGGAGGCAGGTCCCGCCTGGAGGCTTGCTCCCCAGCGACACTTCTTGGATGTCGGGAGAGCCTGCAGGGGACCTGCATCGGTGGAGAGGCCTCCTGATGTTGGCGGCTGGTTCCGTCAGACCCGGGGAGTGACTGGCTGGTCAAAGCCACCCAGGCCACCCTGCCCCTCTGTCGGGGCCTGGCTCTGGCTGGGGTGACCAGTGCCACTCCAGGAGAGACTGGCTGCTGGGAGATTCTTCTGTTATTCAGAGGGACAGTGGCCTTCTGTGGCCACTCCCTCCCTCTGGGCCGAAGGAGGTGGGCATGGCGGGTGTGATGCTACTAGCCCAGGCCTGGCACTTCCACACCCACACAAGGAGGGACGTCCAACCTGCCCAGGCAGGCAGATGGGAAGCACCTCCATCCTTCACAGACCCAGACTCTCAGCCCTGAGTCCTCCCCGTGGGAAGCACGTGCTCTGAGCAGGCAGGCCGACCTCAGAGAGGAAAGGAGAGAGTCCCCACCCGAACTTCTACCGAGTGTCATGCTGATGCCTGTTTCTCCCTGAGGAAAGAGGAGGCTGGAGAGAGGAGGTTCCCCCAACCACCAGTGTCTGCCAGGGCAGGGCAGTGGGGAGGCCGCTACTGTCTCCCTCACATTCAGGGCAGGTGGTGCTCTGCATGTTGACCAGGCTGTGCTTCGGAGATGGACCTTGTCAACCATCTCCACGGCTACTGCAAAGATGTCCTCCCTTGTGGGGTTGCAGAGAGCTTCACAAATTTGATGGCATTTTGGCTTTCTCCTGAGGTATTCCCCCAATAAACAACTTGCACCAGAATCCGCTACTCAGGCTCTGTTTATAGGAGAGAGATGGAGGATGGAAGGGATGCAGGGAGATTTGCTAATCAAAGTAATCTGAAGGAAACTGGCAGACGTCCCTGTCATTGTGAAGAATAAAAATCCTCTTAGGCTCCCCGCTGCCGGTCACCAGCTGCTCTCAACTCAGCAGCTCATTCTCTCTTCCACCCTCTCCTCCTCACCCCTGCCCTTCCAGGTTCCAAGAGGCTCCGAATGACCCTTACTATTTCGTAGAGCAGTCAGGATGGCAAGTGTCGTGGTCCGATTGCAGGCTGGAAAAGAATTTCCAGACACAAGACAGAGTGACAGAGAAAGTTTATTAGAGCGGGAGACACTGTTAAAACAGTGGGCTGGCTCAAGGACGAGCCAACAGTTGAACAGGGGGTCCTTGGTCCCTTTTTATACCCAGAGTGCAAGGAGCGGGACAGGGGTCTTGCCGGTCACTTGCTGATTGGATGCGGCGCGTCTTCTGGGTGAAGGAGGAGCAAGGCGAATGCCTTCCCCTTGCCGGGTAGAAGGGGACGCAGGGCATGCCGCTCAGGAGGGCCTGAAATTCCTTACTGGCTACCACGGAGGGGAAGGGGGACTAAAAAGGGGCTATTTCTCTTTCCGTTCCTGCGTTCTAAGATCCTCCTTGGTTTTTTTTTTTTCCCCCCCGTTTCTTCCTCCTTGGAACACCGCAGGGGGTGCCCCAGTTCCAGATTCCAAACTCCGCTTGGGGCGCACTTTGGCAAATCAGTGTCAGCACTTCGCTTGTCACCGCGTCCATTACACGTGTGACCCCGTTAGACAGGCGTGGACACGACGCTCCGGCACGTCGCGTGTCTGCTGAATGCTGAAGACCGGTTCTCGTCCTCCTGCTGGCAAGGCCCTGGCCGCCCTCCTCAGGTCTGCTCTGCTCCCTCACGCTCTCCGAGCTGGGCCCTCGGCCTCCTTCTCCCGCTTCAGGGCCTCGCACGAATTCCCTCCTCCACCGCTTCCTCCGCTGAGAAGAGCGTCCGCCAGGTCCAGCTTCCCTCCCGCATCTCGACGTCGTCGTCTTCCTCAGCGCCGAGGACGCTCAGTCACAGGCCCGTTCTCTGCCTTTTCACCGCGAACCTGCGGCGGCTCCGCCCGCCCGGTGCGGCCTCCTTGGTGTCCCGGCCCCCTTGGCCCGGCCGCCTCGCTCACCCATCCCGCCGCGCGCTTTCTGAACTCTGACGCCGCGCCTCGTGCTCCCGGTCCGGCGGGAGGCGCTGCGAGACTACAGCCCCCACAATGCCCGGCGGCCCGCGCCGGGATTGGCTGGACTCCGAGCGGCCGCCAATAGGACGCGGCTTTGTTGGCAGGTGGCGCCGGTCCCGTCAGCGCCGGCGCTCCTGAGCCGCCTCCCGCCATGGGCAGCGCCGAGAGCCGCGAGGGCCGCAGGGCGTCTTTCGGGATGGACGAGGAGGAGCGGGTCCGGGTGCTGCAGGGCATCCGGGTGAGCGGCCGGCCGGCGGGAGGGCGTTTGGAGGCGTGCCGTCGCTCGGCCGCGAGAGGACCGCGAGGGGGAGGGCGCTTCAGGCCTAGTCTCCTCCGGGTGACGGGACGGGCGGAGGTGGGGGGCGGGGCTTCGTTGTCTGGACCGTAGCCCCGGATCCGCGTCCCCGCCGCCTTCGCACGACAAGGCCTGCAAGAGGACGACGAGCTGCGCCCCTTGAGTTCCGGAGCTGCGCTGATGACCTGACCGACCACCTCACGTGCCAGCCCCTCCCAGCGCCCCCCCGCCGGTGCCAGCCCCTCCCAGCGCCCCCCCCCGCCGGTGCCAGCCCCTCCCAGCGCCCCCCCGCCGGTGCCAGCCCCTCCCAGCGCCCCCCCGCCGGTGCCAGCCCCTCCCAGCGCCCCCCCGCCGGTGCCAGCCCCTCCCAGCGCCCCCCCGCCGGTGCCAGTCCTTCCCAACCCCCGCCACCCGTCCGCTGGCCTCGAGGCCTCCTCGCCCGTGGAGGGGCGACCTGCTCCGCTCGCGACCCCCGCACGGGGCTGTGTTCGCGCCTCCAGTTTCCCTCAGATCTGCTCCTTAGTTCTTGTGGTTGAGGTCTCACCTCAGCATCCTTCTGTGACAGGGTCTGAAGCGCCTGCCCACCCCCGCGGCCACACATGGGTTTTTGTCGTGGCTGTCGCTCACCACCATTTAAAACTTATGTGCAGGCTTTAGTTCTTTATTGTGCTTCCTGCCGCGGTGTCTCCGCCTTGAGGCCAAAGCTCTTGTCTGACTACAGCTCCCCAGGCTCACGTTTGAGTCCTCAGCCCGGGCGTGGGCTGTGGTACAGCCTTTGCGGGTATCCTGTCACTTAATTCTCCACAGCCCTCTGAGAAGTCGGCTTCTGTTGGCCCATTTTGTGGATGGAGGACAGCTGAGGCACTGAGGCTTGAAGTACCTCTCACGTCAAGCTAGCAAGCTGGCACTGAGCGAGGCTGACTCCAGGAGCCCCCTTCCTCCCACACCTGTGCCTCGCATGTTGTGGGTGCTTTTTAAGCCGGTGCTGAGTGATTAAATGGAGAACCCAGTGAGGCAGGCACCAAGTGTCCGTGGAAGGCACCCAGCCGGGCCTTGGTGAATTCACTAATTAGGGAGGTGGCTCAGAAAAGGAAGTCAGGGGCTCTGAATTCTCCAGCGATGCTCATTACCTGTGTGACCTGGAGTGAACAGCTTTATCTTTTGAGTCTCAGTCACTACATCTTAAAAAGAAAAAATGGAGACGCTGTGATAATCCTGGATGCTGCCTAGGATAAGATGACATGTGTGCATGTGTTTAGAAAATGTACAGTGTTAGTGGGGTCCTCTATTCTCTGCCTAACCTACTTAGCATATTTGGTGCTTACTGGGTGTTATCCAGTCTTGACCTGACTTGAGGCAAAGAAATGGGGAGAAGATGGCTCAGCTCCCGTTAGAGCGTTAGAAGCAGCACCTGAGTCAGAATTTAGAAAGATGCTCCAGGCTCTGTCTGGGCACTTGCCCACTGTTGTTACCTGGTTTGGGGAGTGTTGGAAAGTTTGGTCAGTCAGAGGCATTTGAGGGAACTCCTTTAAGTTGATAGAGGAGCATCATCTCTTTTGGGTTTTATGACAGATGGATACATTTTAATTCTAGTTCTTTTAGCAGTTCTGCAAAGTAGAAATTCTCCTTAAAACTGGAGAATCAGGCTTAGAGAGGTTAGGGAACTTGTTCAAGGTGTTACTTCTGGGACTTTAACCCAGATCTTTCCAGGACAAGCAACAGCCTTTTCTCACAACTCCAAGCTCCAACGCACGTACATCCCCAGTGATATGGAAGGCACTGTGAAAATTGTGACAGTCTCTCACTGTTTAGGCATGGTGCTGGTGCCCTGCTTATTTCTACCAGAAACTGTTAAAACTAGAGGGAGCTTTGGGCACACTCATCAGAGAATGACTTGTGCAAAGGCGTACAGGTGGGTGATAGCCCCAAGCTGTGAGAGCCCTTTCTTCTTTCTTCTCTTCCTCCATTCTTTCCTCTGTTCCCTTCCATATGTCCATCCATCCATCCTTCTATCCACTTGAGAGCCTAGTTTGAGAGAGGGAGACCAGAGAAAGGAGGTGATGGCAGTGCAGTGGTTGGCATAAGGTTCTCATGCCAGCAAAGTGACTTGAGATTGAGGAGTCCACCTTCTCTCTAAGCAGGTGAGTAAAAATCACTGGAATAGGTTATTGGATAAATCAAATGAGAAATTAATGTACTAGAAAGTGAATGTGAAAGAACATCTGCCTGCTCCTTCAGAGAAAGTTAAACATTCCTAAAGACCTCTTGTACTTAATCCCCCAGGCCTGGTCCTGGAAAGCCCTCTAGTTCCCTTAAAATCATGTGCCAAGGCCTTGCTAGTTTGCACACTTTAGTTGCTCAGTCATGTCCAATTCTTTGCGACCCCATGGACTGCACATTTACTGGCATACATTTACATATTGAGTTCAAGCCCTAATTCCAAGGACAGTAAAAAAAAAATTAATGCAAAATGCTGCAATTATATTCTCCATTTTTTTTTCTGAGCAAGCATGTGTGAAATAGATAAAGATGTCATTTCAGTTAGTATGTTTAATGTCATCCTCCAGTAAGAGGTATGTGACTGTTCCCGGTGCCCCTCGCATAGCCATCTTAGGTGACTCAGTTAAAGGTGGTTGCCTGTCAGCATGTTCAGTTCAGTCTGGTTCAGTCCCTCAGTCATGTCCGGTTCTTTGCGACCCCATGGACTGCAGCACTTCAGGCTTCCCTGTCCATCACCAACTCCCGGAGCTTGCTCAAACTCACGTACGTCGAGTCGGTGATGCCAACCACCCGTTTCATCCTCTGTCGTCCTCTTCTCCTGCCTTCAATCTTTTCCAGCAACAGGGTCTTTTCCAATGAGTCAGTTCTTCGCATCAGGTGGCCAAAGTATTGGAGTTTCAGTTTCAGCATCAGTCCTTCCAGTGAATATTCAGAACTGATTTCCTTTAGGATGGACTGGTTGGATCTCCTTGCAGTCCAAGGGACTCTCAAGAATCTTTTTCCAGTACCACAGTTCAAAAGCATCAGCTCTTCCACACTCAACTTTATGGTCCAACTCTCATATTCATACATAACTCCTGGAAAAATCATAGCTTTAACTAGACGGACCTTTGTCAGCAAAGTAATGTCTTTGCTTTTTAATGTGCTGTCTAGGTTGGTCATAGCTTTACTTCAAGGAACAAGCAGCTTAATTTCATGGCTGCAGTCACCATCTGCAGTGATTTTGGAGCCCCAAAAATAAAGTCTGTCACTGTTTCCGTTGTTGCCCCATCTATTTGCCGTGAAGTGATAGGACTGGATACCATGATCTTAGTTTTTTGAATGTTGAGTTTTAAACCAGATTTTTCACTCTCTTCTTTCACTTTCATCAAGAGGCTTTTTAGTTCCTCTTTGCTTTCTGCCATAAGGGTGGTCTCATCTGCATATCTGAGATTATTGACATTTCAATCTTGATTCCAGCTTGTGCTTCTTCCTGCCTGGCGTTTTGCATGATGTACTCTGCATAGAAGTTAAATAAGCAGGGTGACAATATACAGGCTTGACTTACACATTTCCCAGTTTGGAACCAGTCTGTTCCATGTCTGGTTCTAACTGTTGCTTCTTGACCTGCATATTTCTCAGGCAGCAGGTAAGGTGGTCTGGTATTCTCATCTCTTTAAGAATGTTTCACAGTTTGGTGTGATCCCCACAGTCAGAGGCTTTGGCGTAGTCAATAAAGCAAAAGTAGATGTTCTGGAACTCTCTTGCTTTTTCGATGATCCAGCAGATGTTGGCAATTTGATCTCTGGTTCCTCTGCCTTTTCTAAATCCAGCTTGAATATATGGAAGTTCTCAGTTCACGTACTTTTGAAGTCTGGCTTGGTGAATTTTGAGCATTACTTTCGTAGTGTATGAGATGAGTACAGTTGTGTGGTAGTTTGAGCATTCTTTGGCATTGCCTTTCTGTGGGATTGGAATAAAAACTGACCTTTTTCAGTCCTGTGGCCACTGCTGAGTTTTCCAAATTTGCTGGCATATTGAATGCAGCACTTTCATACCATCATCTTTTAGGATTTGAAATAGCTCAGGCTGGATTTCTATCACCTCCACTAGCTTTGTTTGTAGTGATGCTTTCTAAGGCCCACTTGACTTCACCCAGGATGTCTGGATGTCTTCACCTGGGCTTCGCTCCAGGAGGTCTGGCTCTAGGTGAGTGATCACATGACTGTGGTTATCTGGGCCATGAAGATCTTTTTTGTATAGTTCTTCTGTGTTTTCTTGTCAGCATGTAGACTCTGAACCAGTTGACCCCCGATCCCCTGCCCAAGTCACTCCCCAAGGCTGCTGTTCTAGCAGTGTCTCCAGGCTCCTTTCACCCTCAGAGCTACACCATCTTCACCATCATTCATTGCTCCAGGAGGCAGGTCTGGAGCACTGCTGAGGGGAAGACTGGAGGAGGTAGTGGGACATGAGGGCCAGCTCCCATGTGCTCACACCGGAGGCCATGTGCCCTCTACGCAGGCTTGGGTACCACACTTACCCCACCACCTCAGCAAATGCTCACTGTGAGTTGGACCTGGCCTGGCAGAGACAACAGGGGACAAAGTACAAGGTCTGTCCCCAAGGAGACCTCAGCCCAGGATGAGGAACTGACTAAGGAAAAAAAAAAAAAAGAAGAAAAACCTCCTGCAAGGGCCATGAAGGAAACAAAAAGGATAAGAGCAATGGGGCTTCCTGGTGGGCTGGTCACACAGCGCTCCTCAGAGGTGGTGGCCGTAATGATGGGCCTGGGCCAGTGGGGAGAGGCCTGTCTGTCGACTCAAACTCTTGAGGTGAGTGGTTTCAGGGCGCTGTGTCATCTGGTCCCCAGGCTGACCTTGTGAGATCTCATCCCTGTTTCAGAGGTTTAGGAACAGGTTCAAGGAGGGGAAGGAACCCCTGGTTACAGCAAAGTTGTGGTAGAG